TGTTTATTTTTGGAGCAGTTCAATGCAAAAGCATATATATTTTTAGGTACATCATCTTAATTGGAAAAATGTGATACAATGTTGATTTATTACTTCTAAGTTTTTGAATGGTTATAGCTAGTTTTTCTTTTGCCAGTAAGTATCTTGTTGTTTGCCTTGATGCCTCATTGTCTTTACTGGTTACCTGAAAACAGAGTTTTTACTGTCATTTGTGAAAAGCAGTAACTCATTTGTACAACATAACTTAAATGCATTTTGAGGCACAGTGATCTTTTAAAGAATTTTTTGTCCTGGTTTATCTCCAGTTCAGAAGTATATTTTAGCGTGTTCATAAATGAGAAGGTATTTTTGATTATGTTTTAGTCATTGTTTTGCTACTGGCATTTTTTATCCCCTCCTGCTTCGACCTGTCCCTTTGTACCTCAGTGAAGTTCCGTTTACATTGTTATTGCACAGAGAGAGTTGTCGTTTAAATAGTAAATCCTGAGTTCTGTGTGTCAGATGAGATTTGACATAAAGCAAGAATCTTACCATGATAATATGAAAAGATAAAAGTTTATGTACAAATCTCAGGAGGAAAATTAATATACAGTGGCACAGAAGAAGAGCCTCAGTGTGGCAGAGTTGCTGTTTCATCCTTAACGTTACATGGAAGGAGAACACTGGAGCTGGGTTTTGGAGGGGATCCAGAGGGAAAGGTGGGGTCGTGTGTTAAGGGCTGGAGATGGAGCAGCCTGCCTTGGCACCTGGATCCACTTCTGCCAAAAAGCCAGGAGGTTGGAGCAGCTTGCAAGGCAGTTAGGGCTCTGGTGGCCTGGAACCCCGTCCTCACGGGCCCTGAGATGTCCCTCCATCATGTGACCAAAATTCAGGCATCCTCCATCATCCTATGATTGATGCACTTACACAATGGGAATGCACACGTGATTGGAAATGTGACAAGTCCTGTCACTTGCACACAACTGGTCACATGACTGGTCATGTAAGCTGAACTTTGGTGCTTTGTTTGTTGCACATACACTCTTCTGACATGTGACAAATATTTTGAATATTTGTTAAATATCAAAAATATTTTGATTGATGTGTAATTTAGTGAAAAGACAGAAGAGACACTGCAGTTTCCAAATTCTAGTATCTCCATATGCATTTCTACTGTTTCATCTGGACTATCACGCATATGTCTGCCTTTTTTTTTTCTCTAAAATCATCGTACTTCATTAATTTTTCTGAAAATGGCCACCAGCAGTAGTGTTGGTGGCATGGAAGCAGGATTATATTGTCACAGACCATGACAGCTTCTAGGTAGCACTTTGAAGTGGTTAGCGTGGCTGTAGCGGCACAGACATTCCAATCCACAAATCCTTGATACATAAGATAACTGCCTACGAAATAAAAAGTTCTAGACTTAAACAAATTGAAAAAAAGGCACTTGCGCTTGTCCTCTTCATGATTTTGTGATTTTAAGCTACTCGTTTCTTAAAGGCACCTAACAAGGGGAAAGGAATGGGCTGAAGCTGCAATGCAAAATATATTTAAATTGCTCTTATTCCATCTGAGCAGTGTCTGGAGGTACTTATGACCCTTTAGAAAGTAAACAAAGTAAACCTTTCTATAAGGGATGGAGGTCTAATTTTAGAGATAGTTCAGCAAAAAAGCAGTTGGGTCCTCACAACAGGAAGGACTTCTCACTTCAATAAGGAAAAGGAAAAGAAGAAAGGATAGTAAAAATCATTATTGATTAAGTAATTACTAGTATTAAAAGTAACACCTGTGACTAGAATCTGTAACAGTTATCTTTCACTATAGATTTTATTCATCTTTCACATGAAATGCACTGTAATCATTGTGCAGCTAATTTGTATGCATACTTTCAATTCCAGTTTAGAGAGTTCCATTGTGTAGCATGTTGGGCATTATTTTAAAATGACTTTGGCTGGATGATTTGTTGCTGTTCAGTTGATTATAAATTGTATTAATTTGGTGTTTTCTGGAAGAGTACATATTGTCCTTGCTGTTTGCACTTCCTAGTAGGACTCTGTTTATACCTTTATATCTTTGTTCTGTTTCATGTGTGTTGAAACTCCAGCTAATATTTTTATTTTTATCTGTGAATTTCCAACTGTCAAGAAATTTCCAAAAATGAAGATTTATAAAATTGGAAATTCTCCAAATCATTGCCATGTATCCCAGCATATATAATCTTACATCTTGTTGGGTTCCATTTCCAGTTTTTTAAGCCTGCTAGAATTAACAGATAGCTAAATGTTTTGTTTTTCAACAGTATTTAACAACGTTAAGATTTATTTTCAAGAAAGAGAATTTAGTAGTAACCATTTTTGCCTGAAAACAAGAATTCTACTCTCACTACAGTTAATGTTTAAACTCACACTGATGTTGTTATAACACTTTGTCTAAGTAGACCTTTCTTATTTTGAGTTCATTCATTCCTTTTTAATATATCTGTGTCAGAGGGTTTCCTTCTTTTTTATATATCAAACTGAGCTGATCTGCTTTTTCGGTATTTCCTGCAGTAAACTGTTGGAAATTCTCAGTCTTCAATATCAGAAAACATTGGTTGATTCTTGGTAGTTTCTTAGGATTGCCTGACAATTTTTTTGTAAGTTATCTTGATTTTCTGTTCCTGTACAAGCAGTGCCACAATTTTGTCAACAGTGGAAGTAATTATTGCTTCTACATGAATATAGATGTATAATCATACTTATTAAAAAATGATTCCTGTATACAGAGCTGTGAGTGCTCAATATATAAACAGAATAGTTTTAGTCAGATATGAACATAAATGTTGTTCATTTGGCAGTGTGTGTGTGTGTGAATTACTTAAAAATGATTTTTAACTCTCTACTGTTTATATATGGAAGAAATGGCACCTACTTCAGTGGTGCAGTCTGCTTTTTTGCTGGTTACCAGACCTGGTCGATAACCTCTCAGATTAAAAAAAGGGTGATCATTACCTATTCCAGTTTGCAATAGTATCTGTTCTTTTAAGTTTTCATTAGAACTTAAAATTTAGTATCCCACAATTGATCCCGTCAGACTTCGGAAATGTGATGTACGTGACTGTATTTCTTGTAAAACAAGTTGTTCCAAATTGGCGTTAGAGTCATGAGCATCCAGTCAACTGTTTTTCCATCCGTGGATTATCCAGCCCGCGAGTAAAGCCCGTCGGGCCCCGTGGGCGCTGGTGGCTCGGTGGCCCTGCTCCTGAGGCCGCGTTGGCGTCCTCCCTCGAGCGGCGCTGCCTGCCTCAGCACGAGTGTGTTTGCTGTGCTGCGAGTGAACAAGATCACTCACCTTTGCTGTCATCCTTGCAGTTGCGTAGTGTGATCTGGTGGTCTAATTTTCAGTACTTTAGACTGTCTAGTTTTGGCTTGTGTGGTTTATAAGCCATGCTTTGTTACTCCTGAGAACTGAAAATTGACTGTATGCACTTTAAACAGACTGCATTTAGCCGTTATGTTAGAAGTTGCCAGAAATTTGTTACTAAAGAAAGCATGCATTAGATAAGCTTATTCATCTGCTCTAGTCCCATCTGCTTCTAGGGAAGTTAATTGGAAGTCAGGGTAATAAGAAAATACAGTGCTTTCCAATTTTTCTGTAGTATTTCTGTGCTTACAAAAAAGGAAACAAGCAAAATGGCAAGTGTTTTTTTTATCTAGAGGTTTATCTGAGTTTTCATGAAGTAGCAACCTGTTAAGCCTTCACCTCCAGATACTTGGTTCTAAAAAAAACCCTGATCCTAGGCAAAATGAATAAGTAGAAGAGTGCAGCAGTTGGCAGTTACGATGCTAATCCCTCTTACATTTACTCCAGCTTAATATCTGAAGAACTCCAGAAGTTGAGCTTTATAATAGCAGACTCTTTTTCCTTTAGTAACCTCTTACTTTAGTTCTTAAAATATGAAATATAAATAGATATGGCCTCATAAGAAAACCTTAGCTAAAAATTTTAATATATAATGTCTTTTTACTTTGCTAAGAAAGATAGCAAATGAAATTGTGTCACCATGCATTCTTGTGAGAAAAACCAGCTATAGTCATTTCATATAGTCCAGTGCAAAGTGGAAAAAAAGGAATACTTGCTAATTTATAGACAGTCGTTGTTCCAGTCATGTGACTTGAAAAGCTACATGATGGTCTTTTCACATTGCCTAGAACAATGAAATTTATTTTAGAAAAGACCTTTATTAAAACAACATCGATCAGAACATGGTATTGCAATGTTTATGTAATGTCACCCATGTTTATCTTTTTCCTAAATCACTTTTTCTGAAACTTTTTTTGGCAAACAACACAGATTCCCTTGTGGGACTCCTTTGTGCTGTTGCCTTCCTCTCCTAAGACAAGATGGTAGCACCTTAGTTCCTCCAAGACAGAAAACTATAAAGTGACAGTAATAATTATTTACAAAGACTTAGGGAACAGTTAATTGCCTTTAGTTGCCTGGGAAGTGAAACACTTTGTAACCCTTCTGAAGGCTTCAGCCATGAGTTTGAGAAATACCACTGCAAATGATCAATTACAAATCAATTACTTTAATGTAGCTAAACCTACAAATAGGAACTAATGACTTTATTCACAATTTTAATAGTCCGTTGCAGTGACCACTGTGTGATTAGAGAACTGCAGGTATCACAAAATATTAAAATCACTTGTTTTTGCCATCATTTTTTGCCACATGTGTAAATGTACATTTAATATGCATTGGTGAAGATTTTTTGATACAACAAAAACATAGGTTTGTTTAACCTCTGTCATGCTTTGTGCAGTTTTCGCTCTTAAGGACCTAATATTTAAGGGAGCCTAGGGAAACCACATCCTGGTGAGAGTGCTTTCTTTGCTTTTTCTTAGGCTAACCTCAAACTGATTGGTTGAGAACAGCTGATACTGTAACACATTTTGTTCAGTCTCATGTCCTTAATGAGAGAGAAATGCGAATATTGTATCTGTCGTGTCTCATTGTCCATCTGTCCATTTCTCTAGGAGGTGATTTCCTGTCCTTTTTAAGAAAGAAGAAGGACGAGCTAAAAACAAAACAGTTAGTGAAATTTTCATTAGATGCTGCTTCTGGTATGGCATACCTTGAATCTAAAAACTGTATACACAGGTAAGTAATGTATTTATTTTCAGTATTGTAATTTTGATCACTTGAAAAGTCAGCAGGTTAAGTGTATGGTGGTATTTAATATTAGTGGAAATCATCCCTACTATTTAAAAACTGGCTACCCCTTCTTTTTACTTTTTCTTTTTTCTATAAGATCATCACTAAGTTCTAAGCTAGTCTGTTCATTTGGGTAAAAGAAAGTACTGCATTATTTGGATTGTATAGTTTATTGCCATTAATACAAATTAATAATGATTTTTTTCACCATAATAATTTACATTATAGAGAGCATAAATCATATCGTGACAATGGATCATGGTAAAAAGCAATCTTTGCAGCTTAAGTCCCTCTGAAATTGAGAGGTGCATGTGTAGCCAATACGGAAGTTCAGGTATGTTTGCAGTGTGTTCAGGGAAATCCACTGATAAGTCAAACCATAAAGGAAGGGAGTATTTATACTGGAGAGTATGTACTCCAGTATATCCTGGAATTCTGTATGCTAAAACATTACTAGTTGTCTTGACTGTTTTCTTTATAATATTGAGAGTGGTTAGGCCTTATGCTTTTGCTTATGCTTATGCTTCTTTCTGTTTTTATTATTATTATTATTTGTTTCTTCTCCAGCTTGGCTCCACTGTGGAGCTGCTTATACTCGGTCTGTATCAAAGGGAATGTAAATAATTTTCACCTATTCTTTTCCTCGACATGTCGCAGTATATACTCTGCTGCTGTAATATGGCTGAACTATGAGACATAAAACATAAAACATCCCTTTCCAGAAAAATTATAAAGAACAAGTTTTCATTTATGATACTGGTGACTTCCAGTTTCCTTTGTAGAACATTTGTAGAACACTTAGCTTACATGATCAGCTGACTTCATATTTAGCACAGTTCTAATGAAAGCTGCTATTGGTGATCTGAATGGCATTTCTCCTAATTTGTTTTGTCAAAAATGTATTGTTCTACGTGCTTCAAGTCAAGAAGTAGATTTATCTTTAAACACATCCTTCTAATCAGAATAAATTCAAAACCTGTTTATAAAATATTACAGTATTATTATATCATTTATATATACATATATATTTATATTACTATTTTTTGTATTTCACTTCATTTAAGGAAACTTAAATAGAGTAGTTATCTCATGCTCTTTCCAAAACTTTATAGATTAGTCTGGACCACAAATTTATTGAAACACTTTTGCCAGGTCAGGATATATAAGTAAGACTTAAACAAATAACCCACATTCATTAAATAAAACTATAGAATATGGGAAATCTCAGAAAAATACTGTAAGCTACATGCAGAAAAAGAGAATGGACTTAGTAGGTAGATTGGTAGAATGCGTTTCAACCTGGTTCTGTTTGTTAAGAAAATAATAGCTTATGAATCAAAGCAATTAATGGCATTAGGGATTTTCACTGTCTTCGTAAATTCTGTAGTATTTTATCATTTCTCCAGCTATGAGATCAATGTTAGATCAGAAGTGCCTGCTTTGATCTCACGTGTTCATGAAAATAAAATCAAGGGGAAAAGAAATAACTAAATAAGTAAGCTATACTTGAACTGCGTTGTATAGCGTTCTTATGTGGTAATTATGATTACTGAAAAGTGTACTGTATTTATTCATTAAATGGTAATGTGACACCTGCAAAATATAGACTACTTTAGAAATAGTTATTATTTTTGGAGAAGTGCTATTCCCCGTTCCCTTTTAAACTCCAGAAAAAGCATTTCCTTGCTCGTCTAGCTTAATTAGGACTGTTCTGTGTACTACAGATGAGAGCATGGCCTCAGTTTGTCTTTGAAAGAGGCACTGGTGGTTAACAGTGAATAGGAACAGCTATATTTATGCCACTTAGAGTGACCTTTTGAGACTCATTTACATTACCTCTCACTGCATCAAGTGCTCTCTTCCAAAGAACTTCATTATATCCATGATGGTTTGTGGATGAACTGTATTGTGATTGTAATAAGACAACTTGTGATAATGGTTAATGTCCTTTTTTCAATTGCTTTTTTTCTCTAATTTATCTTAGTGAAGTTTTGTTATTGTTGCTTGTTTCTTAAGAATACATTTCAGAGTGAACGTCTTGTGTAGCAATGTCTTATTGTAAGAATTCAATATGAATGCAAATATGTCATGTAGGTCCAAAGCCAGGAGATAGAACTGTAATCTAATCTCTTATTTTGTAACTGCCAGGGATTTGTCAATGCGTATGGCCTGGGTTGCTCATACTGGGATGCACGTGAGGAAAAGGTTACAGGATCTTCACGAAACACGTTTATTGTTATCACAGGTTATCACAGAAGGTTACCGCTTTCCTTAAAGGCAGAAATAAAAATTTCCGTAAGCATATCCTGAAGAAAACTGCAGTATCCAAATACAACCAAGTGATCGAATAATAACTGCAGGAACACTGCTTAATTTTACGAATCATACAGGTTAATAAATCAAAATAGGCATTTCCAATATTATTTCAACAATCTTATTTTCTGAGCTCCTAAAGATTTTTCAGACCTTATAGTTGCACATAACATATACTTGTTATATTTATGAGTTGATTGTTCTGAGTCTGATTGATCAGCAACAAAAAATTTAAATCAGGATAGCAAACAGCCAAATTTAGTGATTTCAGTAGTAATAATACAGTCACCACATAATTACTAGGTTTTTTAAGTTACTAACAGAGATTGCTTGGCAAATGTTCACTCTAGGAAAGTAGCTCATGAAATTTAACGTGTTTTATCACAGACTGAATTGCATTTTAGTAGAATTCTCAGACATGAAAAGTTTCTAGGCGGGTCCCCTGTTTGAAATGAGGAGTTTGCATGCTTGTCCAGAATTTCTGGGCACCGTGGGGAGCAGTTGGAGATACAGTAGGATAGAAATGCTGGATATGTCTGCCACAGAAGCACAGAACATTTATTACTTGTTGGATACTTTGAGCCTGCTGCACACTAGTACTGGGTGCAACACTCTGGTGCTATGCTGCAAATATATTAAATACAAGTGACAGACTACCAGGGAAAGGTCAAACTGCCTGGTGCTTTGTAAGCAAGCTCAGAGGTGTTTAGTACTCACAGCCCCGTTGGAGTTCAGCCCCTCCCCTTACCTGAGCACTGTAGATGCACGACTGTACAGTGTGTGCAAGGATTACAGGTGCCCTTGTTCCCCACTTTGTGGTCAGGTAAGACAATGTTGCAATCTGGTCTTGGATAAATTTAATGTAGAGACCAGGTATATGAAAATGGAACAAATTAATTGGTAGTAGCAAGAAAAAATAGCATTTTGAAAAAAAGAATGAGAATTTTTTGAAAGCACAAGAAATTCTTTTTCTTTTTTTTGTCAGAAAATTCATCAACTGGACATGGTTCTTTAGGTTAAAAGAGGTAAGAAATTTAACTAGAGACAAAATGGACTAAGCAGCAGAGTATTTTTTATTTTGATTAAAATTCAAAAGGCTTTGATTACTACTGCGGGTTTAAAAAAAGATTTTAAACAATATATAATTAGAGATGGTTTCTATTGTGTAGGTTGCAACAGAAAGGAAATTATTCTGCTTCCATACTATGCTTTTTTTCAGTACTCCTTTTCTTTGTTGTTTTAAAGATCTGTTCAGAACCCTTGTGTGTTTTTTTAGTAATTTAGGTGACTTATTGAGTAGAATGTACATTTGACTTTCTGTTGTGAAACTAAAGACTGCTCAGCAGCTTATTAAAATGATTTAATGATTTAATGCCACTGTTTTTAGTTGTAGCTGTGCTAGCTATGCTTAGCCTTTATATTTTAAAGTTATTTTTAAATCTGCGCTGGCTTTTTAGAATTGCCAATTGAATCACGCTTTTGCTGAGGTTTTCAACAGTTGGGCCAGTGCAACAACTAATCTGCTCTTTATTTTGTCTTTAATTCATGTATGCTGTGGTGTTTCAGTAGGTGCAGGTATAAAGTTTACATTTATCAGGCTTAGAATGATTACTGCACGTGAGTGACCGTTTCATCTGCATTTTCATCTCCACCAGGTTGCAGAGATCACTAACTTTTTGCTTTCTCTTTGTTCTGGTTAAAGAGCAGAAATGAGTGGGCTGAAATAAAAAGGCTACATGAACAAATGTTATTAAAAGAAATAAAAAGAGTGGCTGAACAAATACAGAAGTATGCAATTATTTCATCTCTATTTAATTAAATTGAGTTTGAAGATTTGTTTCTTGCTTTTCATTTTCACCACATGCTATTATTTAGATACTTCCATGTTTCTGTTAATTAGAAACACAAGACTAACGTAGAGATGTGATCATCTCAATTGGTTTTGATAAGTATTTTTGATTGATCTTTCCCAATATTTGATTGCATGTGATGAATGCATTGGTACATAGTTTGTTATTAATTTCCAAACCAATCCTGTGGTAGTACAGGAGAGAAGCTGCAGCTACGTGGTTCAGAGAATTTGAATATATACATATATATATTTTTCCCCTCTCCTTACCCATCATCTTCTCTTAATGAAAATAATTCAAATTATGATAGAACTCAATTGAAAGAAGATCAGTATTGACAGAAGCAATTAGCTTTTGAATTGTCTTTGTTTTTAATCATTTGGTAGTCAGTACAATCCCTTAAAAGCAAGGGGACAGTTAGGTTTTGAAAACGTTACTTTTAGGTGAAAATTTTGTTCCAGCTATGTCTGCATGTCACATATGTATGATTCTAATTGAAAGTAGCAGGAATATTTTTCTATTTATTTTTCAGTTATTTACTTTGCTTATTCACAGTATTTTGCACTCGATTTCACTCTTTCACTTAAGAAATAAATCCATTTGTCCCATATGGAAAGACTTTTACAAACAAGAGTCAGTGTATTTTTAGAAACAATTTAAACAAAATTTGAGATGCAATATCAGGAGTGTGCTTTAATAAAGTTGGAATCTTAAAAGTAATCAATTAGTAAACATTCTCAATGACAATTTTTCACTGACGTTATCAGCAATAGCTTCAACTCT